TACTCCTAAAAAACCATTATCAGTTGAAAATCCATGTCTTTTAGCAAACAAGGGAGTAAAATATATAAAACAAACAACCATTGTAACAATGATTTGTTGGGGGGGCCTTACCGTTTGAGGAGGAAAAACAAAACAAAATCACAATGAGATTTGATAGTAATAAAAATGAAGAAGCAGAAAGCAGATTGTTCCGTTCCTGTTCAAGATTTCACAAGACAAATATCTGAAGCAGTTAGAATGGAAGCAGGCAAAAGAGAGTGACTATTAGTTTTCCCATATTCTTTTCAAAAAACAATAACAAAAACCACATACTAAATTGCTGGGTTTTTATCTTCCCCCTAACAATTTAACTTAACTTTCTAAATAAAACTGGGCCGCCATGTTTCAGCATGGGCCATGTTCTTCTGTGCAAGGACGGAGTAACTAAAATTTGATGATGCACTGAGAATTGAACTCTGGGCAGTGCTAACCAACCATAGCTAAGGAGCAACCTGCTTATCAGGAGCTCAGGAAACATTTGGGACAGCCACAGCAGAAACAGATGCACGCAGCTGCCAGTAGCCTAGGAAAAACTAAGAGGGCCAAAGAACCACTGCAATTACAGAGAAAAACCTCCCTGCAGTGGGAAGGTTTTCTGGGTGTGACATAAGAAATACTTTTCACATAAGTCAACTTCATTCAAGACGACAAACTAGGCACACAAAACTAAGCGTCCTTTGTTCTGGGGAAGAAAAACATGGAATCTAAATTTAGGGTTTGCTGTGCTTTTCTTTTTTTGTTATACTGGTAATACCTGCAAGACAAGAAAGAGAAAGCCCACATGTTCCATTGTCCTTCTTTGGTACTCGTTTTTGTTGATTTAGCAGGACTGCCCCACTTGCGATTATCGAAGAGATTGTAAATACAATTGTAAGTGGTGTAAGTGGTGGCCTTAATTTTCTTAAGTGGGCTGTGCAGGCCTGGTCGAATAGGCGGCCACAAACTAAATTCAAGAATTCAAAGCATGGTGGTTTTTACTTTGTTTTGTGTGAATAGGAATTCTTCCCTATGGAACCATGACCTAAGTCCAGTTCATGCACGTAAGGCACATAAGGCAATTGTGACTGGGGAATGGGGCCATGCTATTTGCTCCACCCCTGATTTTGCAGACATTTCCCAGATTAACTTGGTGCATAAACTCTTGCTGGGATGTAGGGTTCCACAAGACTGGGACATCCACATAAAACCAGAATCTTGTGGGTCAAGGCTTCAGACAAACACATGTAATGCAGGGTGATTACAGAAGCAAAATGATGTCAGTCAAGTAGCTAAAAATGTGGCCCTGCCACGCAAGTGCCTGACATGTGAGTAATTTGTGAACCGGGCAACTGTCTTACGGAGTTAATTGCAACTTGTGGAGAAACTTGTTAATTACAACTTGTGGAGCAGGAAAATACAAAGTCCCTATGTTATATACATTCCAGTGGTTTGATAAATAACAAGCAAAAGCTGTAGGAATTCCCCTTTCTCAGTGTTACGTTCCGCAGAATTTTCTATTAGGGAACAGCATGTAACCTTTTTTACATTCGTTGTAATTAAAAGACACAACACACACATGCCCACATCAATACACCATGCACTGCAGAAGGCTCAGAGCACGCATCTCTATGCTAGTCCTGATTTGACTCTATGATTACAGGCTGAAAGTGAATCATTTTCAGATCACAGTATGTGTTACCTCCCAACCCCTTCTGTATGTCTAAATCACTCAATCCTAAACTAGCTTTCTCTAGATTCAGCGCCATGAGCTGTCCTCCTTTAGGGCCAAACTAAACTTGATGGCATTCGCACACCAAGTTGGCATTGGCTTTTTAAGAGTAAATAGCATCCTTAAAAATGGTAAAGGGACCCCTGACCATTAGGTCCAGTCGTGACTGACTCTGGGGTTGCGGCACTCATCTCACTTTATTGACCGAGGGAGCTGGCGTACAGCTTCCGGGTCATGTGGCCAGCATGACTAAGCCGCTTCTGGCGAAACAGAGCAGTGCACGGAAACGCCGTTTACCTTCCTGCCAGAGCGGTACCTATTTATCTACTTGCAGTTTGACGTGCTTTCGAACTGCTAGGTTGGCAGGAGCTGGGACCGAGCAACGGGAGCTCACCTCGTCGCGGGGATTCGAACCACCGACCTTCTGATCGGCAAGTCCTAGGCTCTGTGGTTTAACCCACAGCGCCACAAACGTCCCTTAGTACCCTTAGGGGTCCGCTAATAAATGCATATTTAAGCCTGACCTGCTACAGAGAAAAAGATGCACCATGCATGACTCATTTAAGAGTCAAAAGTCAAGCTCCCCCCTCCCCTTAATAGTATTTATCTGGATATACCTTTGCCATCTGGGCTGCGGTGTTCCCTGCCGCACCCAGAGAAACCATCGTCAAAGCAGAAGAAATGCTCAACGGAGAAAAAAACACGTTCGCTGTATTATTATTTTGACTTAGCTTCTTGAACAGATTGAGGGCAAAGGCACTGTTTGCTGCAGTGAGGCGGTCCATGTCTTATAACCTACGAAACAAGCACAGAGAAGACAGTCATCCAGTTTATCCGCTCGGAGGTCACTTTTACAAGAAAAAAAACCCCATAGCATTTGTTTTCAGATCCCACACATGTGTCCTAAGGGCATATCAACCTGCAAGTCCCAAGCTGGAACATTTTAATGCTCTCCAAAAGGCCACCCACCCACCGTTTTCTGGTGTGGGGGGGGGGGCTGCAGCCCTCAGAGGAACCTTCAATCACATGCTACATTTCTTTAGATGCCCAGGAAGAGAATAACATTTGCCTTCACTTGATTTTTAAGAAGATCAGCTTTAAATTAAAAGTCTATTGCATCTTACATGCAACATTACCCGCTTTGGGACATAAAAAGAAATAGAGGGGGGGGGAAGCATCATTTGAGAGCCAGTTGTCCCTCCCCACTGCATAATTCTAGCCTCAAAAACAGGACTATTAAAGCCTCAGGTCGCAGAATTAAGTTAGCAAGCCAACAGCTATAATAGCCTGACTTTCGCAATTAAGTCTATGTTTGATAAACCGAGTCCTGAACGGGATCAAGCTTGCATGAAGTGCTTTTTGAGGCTTTTATAACTTACCGGTATATTGTGACTACTGATCCTAAGATGTACAAGTGTTTCAAAACTCCTTCTACCAATATGCATTAGGGGGGAAGATCTGGGCACACTAAATCAACCCAGCCCCATGAAATTCACATCTGAACATTTTCCTGGCATGAAGATGCAATGAGACAAGCTTTGCCTGCTGGATTTATCTGTCTTGGAGGTTCAGAGACATAAGAACTCTGCCATTTTTTTCTGGCTGGCAGAGCTGCCAAGCCCATGTTTTCTTGTTTTTGAAACAAAACAAAACACACAGCACTCTTGCCAAGCTAGCACACATTTCCTTGTTATTTAAAACCAGAATTTTGACATGTGCTTTTTCTTCCATCACAGGGGAAAGGAAAGGAAAGTGAAGCCTTCAGAACTGCTCCAAGCTGTGAACCTATTTAAAGGCACAGAAAAAAATCCTTAGGGAAGCGATCCCAAACAGCTCTGATCTCTCTGCAAAACATTAGCAGCCAGGGAAATACACAACTCTCATACAGACAGGGCTAAGCAGGTAAGGAAAGCTACACAACGCAACTGTTATATATAATATTGTTTACCATAAGACGTGGCTGAGGATTCACTGTAATTAAAATACATAAGGGTATAAACTTAGCAACCTAATATCAGGATTACTCAGGAGGTTCGTTTAGTTACCACACTGCCAATTACAAGTCACCGCAGGTCATCTCTTTATTCTAGACAAAGAGGAAAAGCTATCTCTTGTATTCATTATTTAGAATGCTAATTCACTGTATGAAACAACGCATTTTTGGGCATGGAATATTTTCCACAGAAAAGTACAGTTGTGGAAAACTCTTTGCTTCACGTCAACAAGCCAGCCTGTAAACATACTGGGACACAATCCACAATGTGGTGCTTGATGCCACTGACTTGAAAAGAGCACTGATCCTGCAGAGTTGGTGTCAGCCGGCCTTTGTTTATCCTGATTCCTTTAAAAAAATAATTCTAACATTCTAAAGAACACACACACACACACACACACACACGTGTGGAATAATTAACTTGGCACCACCTTGTGAATTCTGAGTGGTTATAATACCGTAAATAAGGGAACCATGAAAATTCGCAGTGTGATTTGAGCTTTTGAGTTACAGAATACATACTTATGCTGTATTTTATTTTTTTAAAGTGAAATCCTTTGCTATGTTATCCAGCTTCTTGTCCAATGCCTTTGAAAGCAGTCTTTCCTAATTCTTTTGGTACATTTCCAGTTATAATATGTCTCTTTTGTTCATTACGAGACACAACGTTTTATACATTTGTATTGAGGACCGTTTAAAAAAGAACATGAAACATATGCTTCTGGTTGAAGACATGGCATTAAGCCCTGTCTTCTGTTTGCTTTGCGCTGTAATAGAGACAGTTTTCTCGGCCTTGAGCCATGCCGTCTACAAAAGATCTCCAATTACACAGAGGCCACCTGGGACAGAGAAAGAACGGATGCTCTCTCTTTGTATTAGTGTATACACAACCAAGCAGTTCTCTGAATTGGTCTGCGGTGCTAGTTCTGCTTGGAAAGAACTCTAGCTTCAGGCATGGAATTGTACTATCCAAATTTGTTTGTTCCATTATTGAAGAAGGGTGGGTCACCTTCTTCATTCCCCAGAACGCAGATCCTTCCAGGGAATGCCAGCGCTGGGTGCAGCCAGAGGCAAACGTAGGTGCGGCAACAGGTGTGACTTTTACCTTTGTACTGTGGGTTACATTCCAGCCACACAAAGTGACAGGGATTTCTACACCCATGATGCATTTGTCCAGACAAGCAAGAGGCATCAATCATCTCAGTCCAAGGACTATTCCAACCAGGCAGAAGAACTCAAGAAGAGGTCCAGAGTGGGACCAATGAGGGTCTTGGCCTACTGATGGAGGGAGGGCCGAGATATAGAGATGGTTGGGGGGCCACGTTATAGGACTCCACACTTCTGGTGTTATTTTACCACAATAGACCCACCGAGAGCTAAAGCACTCCAAACACATCCCTAAAGTTATTCCTCCCACCCTCAACAAATTACCTTACTTGATTGGTTGGTTGGTTTTGGCAATCAAGATCTACATCCAGTTCAGCCACACAGCTACAAAGAGGCTTTGCCAAAAAAAGGAAAACCCTCCACAAAGCAATCAAATGGATAAAAAAGAAGCAGGGTGAATGGCCCCATCTGCAGTGTGTGTTTAAAGCAGTATCATAACACTTTAAAGGAGTCTCCAGCCCCATCGTTCAGCCTGGACACTGAGGTCCTCCTCCAAGGGCCTTCTGGCGGTTCCCTCACCGTGAGAAGTGAGGTTACAGGGAACCAGACAGAGGGCCCACCCTGTGGAACGCCCTACCATCAGATGTCAAGGAAATAAACAACTACCTGAGTTTTAGAAGACATCTGAAGGCAGCCCTGTTTAGGGAAGTTTTTAATGTTTCATCTTTTATCGTGTTTTTAATATTCTGTTGAAAGCCGCACAAAGTGGCCGGGGAAACTCAGCCAGATGGGCAGGGTATAAATAAATCATCATCATCACCATCATCATCATCATCATCATCATCATCATCATTATTACTACAGCCATGGCTTCCATTTCCAAAGAATCAAAGAAACTGTACTTTGTTAAGGATGTTAAGAGACCCCATTCCCCGCTCCCTGCAGAGCTACAATGCCAGAATTCCTCAGGGAAGAGGAATTGATTGTTGAAGTACTCTGAGTGCTCTTCTGGACAGAATCTGGATGCTCTTACAGATGGTGGAGAGAATGTGGCCAAGTTCTGCTTCAGTTTGAAGGGCACAGCAGCGGAGGCAGGCTTTGCATTATTACCAAACGCTACAGGAAGAATCCTTGCTCAGTTGTGCTCAAGGGATGCCCACAAGGCAATCTTCATTTCAGCAGCAGTCATTTGCTGTTGCAATGGTGAAAACAAAAAACCTACTGCAAATAACCTAGAGATCTTACCAATAGATCTTAAGCTGCCTTCTGCCTATTCCTAGAGACTGCAAAGTATACAAGGCAAATAGAAAGTCTTATGGTTGATGGTGTTTTTTTTAAAAAAATGAACTCTTAATTACTATCCATCCAATGCTTGCCAGTTCAAAACTGCCTGATTAAAATAGTATCTGTACCATAAAGGGATTTTCGTCTTTTGTTTACTCTGACAAATGGAGTGCATTTAAAAACAGAAGCATTCCTTCCACATTCCATAGCTATTTAAAGATTTCGGAGCAAAAAGAAACAGAAAACAACTTGTTACTTCTCCCTCCTGCCTTGACAATGCTCCAGTGTTCGAAAATCAGCTGTTTTGTCATAGTAGTATTTAATCATATCAGGATACACAGTGAGAAGTTTCGCATGCTCTCAGGGAAGGATAGTGACAGAAGAGTAGCCACCCTCACAAGGCTGGTGAATACATACAATGGAAAACTATGGCTCTGTGTTGGCACATAAGCTGCACATCCTTCCTGTGCTACAAAGTTGGTTCCTCTATTTGCTTCACTCCTGTGAGTTGGCAATGCAGTTGCTACACTCCTCAGCTGGGCGTCGTAATTGACAGCATGGCATGCCAATCTCTGCCAGGCACCCCACTCTTTCCTAGCTGCTGGGAGGCTCCCTGCTTAACCGACACTTTAGAACCCAGCCTAAGGTGTGGGCAGGAACGCCAGGAACTTCCCCCTTTAATTTATTTCCAAGGAACAGGTAGGAAGTCTGCTGCATCCTAATAAGCAAGCCAATAAAAGAGTTTTAGGAATTGGTTGCTGCACATGCACAAGGAAAACTCATTAAAATCTACTTCTTCCATGCTCTGCAGGTGACTAGATTTTTCAGAGCAAATATAAAAACAAACAAATGCCAATCAAGAACAGGCACCAAGGTGGGTTTTATCTCCCCCCCCCCTGCAAAGCTCCTGTGCGCTAACAGCTGTGCACAGAAGGCAGAAATCCAGCAGGTGAAGCCTTTCCCATTAGAGAAACACAGTATGGAAAGCCGCAACTATTGAATTTCTGCCTCTGTCATGCAACTGTTCAAAGCACAAAAGCGCCAGTCCTACAGGTGCCAGTCTTGGACAACACCCTGGACCCTCCCAGATTACTTTCAGCGCTCCACCTCAAGAAAGGAAGTCCCAGACGCTGCTGCCAAGCAATCCACCTAGCTTGCCCTTTGCAATCCGGTAAGCAACGACTTAAGTTAGTAGTTACCACTGACATATATATATATATATATATATATATATATACCGCAGCATCAACTTCTGGAGGCAAGAACCTGCTTTTATTAGTTATGGTACAACCTTTTTTGCAAGCATATTTGATGTAATGGACTATTAAGTTCCTGGAAGTTTTTTGCGCGCAATAAAGCTGGCAGCCTTTAAGGCGCTCCAAGAACTTTCGTTGCGCGCAAGCCACTCGTAGCGCGCCTACCTTTCTGGAAGTTAGGATCGGATACTGATTTTCTTCCTCAGCTTACCAAAATAACAGCAGTCCAAGACGAGGCAGCTTTTAACCACACACACACAACATCAGGAACCCCCCTTTCTTTTAAAGGACACGCAACAGAGACAAATGGCACCCCAAAGAGAAGAGGACTGTACCGGGAGGAATGGGCGCGGCTGTTACGCACGGGTCGCAGGAAGGGCTACGGCTGCGAGCAAAGAGAGGCACCGAGTGGCGACGGGAAACCAGAGAAGGGGAAACGAAACCATCCCGTCCTGCCAGGGGAGGCGCTCCTCCCTGTGACTCAGCCCCTGACTCAGCCGCTCTCCAGGAACCTAATAGGGTGGCGAGGCGGGGGGGGGGGAAGGAGCCGCAGGCTCGAGCCCCCCAAGTTTGCTGCCGGCTTTCATTGCCACTGAGCATGTGCAGAACGGCTCGCACAGGTCCAGGAGGAGGAAACGAAGCCGCTGCCCGTTGCCTTTGAGGGCGGCACGCCTTTTTCCCCATCGCCGCTTCCTTTTTTCAGAAACGGAGAAGCCTCTCGGAGCAGGAAGGTGGCGCTGCGAAAGCGCAATTGCGCCCTGCTCGTGCTGGTTGTTGGCGCTGCAGAAGTAATCCCCGCAGGCTTACTCCCGAGTAAGGGCGCCTGGCTGCGCAAACCCGGGGAGCCTGACATTAATACAAACAATGCAGTCATAGGGTAAAGTTTATATTCTTTTACTTAGTGTCAGCTTGGATAGATCCTCTTTCTATTCGCTGATAGTTAAATGTTTGGGAAAAGTCAGAAGCCCAAGGCAGTATAAGTTCCTCAACTAAGTTTATTCAACATTTGTCAGTGACAACAGCTCACTCATAGGAACACAAGAACCAAACTGACTGGACAACACGATAATAGGCCCCAGCATGAACTGACCGTTGACAGGTTGACAGTTGAAAGAGCATGCGCTTACTTGCCATTAGAACGTTCGTCCATTGCTGTCAACTTTCAGATCTGAAAATAAGGGATCAGCAGCCTCGAAAATAAGAGATCAGCAGCTTCACCTGTCCCGGGGACAGTCTACGGCATATCTAACAATCCAGGATAGCAGCGGGAAATGGTGCTGGAATAAGGGAATTTCCGGCAAAAAAAGGGAAGGTTGACAGCTATGCGTTCGTCTACCAACACTATACGATTGGTTAGAACGTGCCTTGTAACATAAAATGTGTTAAACCCAATACATAACATTGATTTATTGCATTTCCTTGGTAGTGAGAGAGGTTGTGTGTACGGGGAGCCTAAGGTTATCCCACCAACACGAATGTCCAGCAACAAATACAACCTGAAAAAAGAGACGACTCACGTACTTCTGTAAACCAAGGAACCACTATGATCTTAGGGTGAGATCACTTTGAGGTGTATGATATAGATATGCAGGCTTGATTTTTTCTGGCCATAGTGAGTGGTGTGTTTTTTCCCCGCGGACATGCTGGGTAAAGGATGGGAACATCCAGTCTGATTTTTTGATGACTGCAATATTCTCCAGAAAGACTGGGTAAGCTTGTACAGTTCAGAGGAATCTCTGGGTATGTGGTGATTAATCTGTAGACTATTCTGGAGAAGTGTTGGGATTTGGGTGTCCTGCCCATAAGAGTGTGTTTATGAGGAGTGTTGAAGGAGTCCCATCTCTTCACATGAAAGCACGGCGGGACACTATTTGATCTACTGAAAGTGACCAGATTGTTGTTAACCATGTGGGGAACCTGGGCAACAAAGGTCAGACTACCTGGCTGAGATTATGATGCCCTGTTAGAACCATATTGAGGCCTGAGAATGAGATCTTGCTATAGTTTCTAAGACCATTGCTATTGGGAAAGAGGACGGGTACCAGTTAGGATTCTGACCCATGGTGATGCTGTGTTGCAACTGAGTAAGGTTAAGCATAACGGACAGTTTGTACATAAATGCAGAGGGCAAATTTCTAATGCCTGAAATGCAAGAAAGCTGTGAGGAAACAGAGGTACCAGAATGTGCCTATCAGTGATGCAGAAGGAGAACTCAGATCATGATGCTTGAAGAAAATACGTATAGGAACATGAACCATTTCTGCAGAGCAGAGACTTGAGTCAATTAGAACTTGTCAAAGGACTTTCTCCCAGGAGCCTCTGGATTTTGCATGCATTAACCATACTATCCCAACTGGTCCGGAATATATCCTCCAGTTTGGAACAGGTTCCATCTAATTGCTCTTTCTTTGTATTAACCAGCTGGTGAGATGATGAATATATAAAATAAATAAATAGGAGGGTTGTCAATTATTTCAATGCAAGTGGGCTGCACTCCGTGTCATGTGGCACAGGGAGAGAAGATAAGAGCTTTTAAAAAACTACTGTATTGCACAGTGGAAACATAATTTTCAAAAATACATTTATTGCTTTAAAATGCTTGTTTTACAGACAATGATCACCGGCATTTAGAGAAGAATTAAGAATGTGATTCTATGACGAAGAGAATCTGCCAAAGAAGAGGGTGCTTTTGGTTGCCTTGAAGATGAAAGGGTGGTTTGCTTCTACTTTTATGGGATGCTGAGATGACCTTATTACAATGGTGGCTGCTGAGGCAACTGCTGCCTCAATGCCCTCTTCATTGATCTCCACAAAGGACTTGTGATACACCTCTGACAAAGCCAAGTCACTTTTCTTTGACATTCCTGAGAAGTTAGCTTGCTTCAGGGAGAGCAAAACCTACCATAGAAGAGAAGGCTTTGTGTTTTGTTGTGCCGAATGAAGAAGAGAAAGGGATGGTCGGCTGTGACACAGGGCACAATCCTAGCACACCGCTTATTCATAACAGCAGCAGTAGCAGCAGCGGCCTCAGTTCCCTCTTCGTTTACCTCTACAAAAGATTTGTGAACAACCTCAGACAAAACCAAGTCATTGTTGGGAGACATCCTGGAGAAATCTGCCTTGCTTGGGTCAAATGCCTCAGCCATTCCCATGCTGCTCAGAACAGGCTTCAGGTCGTATTTTTCCTCCAGTTTAAATTTGGGTAGAGACAGCTGAACTTCAGTTAGGTCCATCTTCTCAGGGTTAATCCAATCCTTGAGTTTCTCATAGGTCATTTCTCTCTCCAGCTAAAATAAGACAAACACGAGGCATTCAAGGAAAAAAGGAAATCCTGGCTGCATATATAAATCCTCACATTTCTTACATAAAACCATTTTCACTGGATTCACAGTGACTCAAATGACTCCATGTATATCACTTAAACTTGTTTAACAATTGCCCTGTCTGTCCGGGTAGAATTCCTTTCTGCTCAACTTGCTTTTATGCCTTCCATCTTTCTGAATAAGACAGAACAGTGGCAGACTTAACTATGCTTATAGAAATATAAACAGGTAGATTACACATATATTGCTCCTCCTGCGGTAATTTATCCACCTTTGTTCCCCCCACCCTGTACTCAGCTCTCCCCTGTGGCTCCCGGAAGCTGTCAGCATGTTGAACAATGTTTATAAATTTTATACCTATATTTTAGCTGAAAGAATGAAGAAAAATTTCCAAACTATTATACAGTATAGTAATTTATGGACCTAAAAGGTATGTAAAGCTATTTGCACATGCAGAATACAGGCACCATATATATAGAAATGAGCAAACCAGTGATATTTTAGGGAGCAGACTGGCAGGCGGTACCCATTACTTACATTATAGGAGCCTATACAACACAAAACACTGTTGCTGTGTGTAGGTTTTATTTTATTTGTTTTTTATCTTCTATTTTGGAAATGTAAATCTAGTTTTTTTCCTTTGCATTTTCGGGGGGGGGGCAAAAGAGTGGGACCCTAAGCTATAGCTTGTTTAGCTTATACGTAAATTCGGCACTGACCCCAGGGAGGTCATTTCGGCGCTGCGGGTGTCGTGGTTTGACTTCACCCCTGGAGGCACACTCCATTGTCTCTCAAGACAGACAAATGCCAACAATATAATAAGTTACACTGGGCACTTGGAAGAATCATGTAGAAGCTGGAAGCTAGAATGCTCTCGTCATGTACCAACAAGGGCAATTTTTATGGGCAAGAATTTAGATGGTTTTATTCTCAGCAACAATGCCTCACCTTTTCCAGGCCTGTAGAATTATCTGCAATCTCATCAGGAAGCAGGATGATCATGCTGAGCTCATTATCAACATAAGGAATCTCAAGAATTTTGGTGCGAAGTTCCGATATCCATGTCATGTTGAATTTAGCTTTCTTGAACATCATCTCCACCGGTTTGCTTTCATTCTGCAAATGGAGAAGAATTTCATTTTAAGCATATAATCTTTTCTATTGCTCTATTGCATTGCTTGAGCTGCTCTGCATCTTGTTTACTGTTCATCCTCTGTTGTCTCTGCAAAAGAATGTCCTTAGGACATGGTGGGAAGGAAAATCCTTGCTGGTCAACTGATGAAAGAAAACAACAGAAGGAGGGAACACTCCAAATATCACAATGTATGAAATTTAATCAAAACGATAAAGACTGTGTGCTCAGTGATGTGCTTCACATTATTTCCCACCTCATACCTTGCTAATTTTGAACGGCTTTTCCTCAGTGAGATCTTTGCGGAACTGATTTGCCCAGTTTCCCTTGAAATAGATAGCATTCACCAAGACCAGCCTTGTACTGGAGTCAATTATTCCAGGGGCGAGCAGATTTTGGATTTTACCTTGAAGAGGGATTAAAGAACATATTTTTCAGACACAAACTCATATTTTAAGAAGTAAACCTCAGACAATATGGAAGCCCAAGAATTTGCTACTCACTTGCTGTCTGTTCTTCCACCCAGTTATTTATGTATTTCCTGGAATCGTCTGTTTCTTTAATGAAGTCTAGTTTCTCTAGACCTGCTCGATAGAATTTCTGGCTGGAGTCTATGAATGACTTAAACAAATATGTTTCAGAATTAAAAGCTATATACGGATCTGTATATATCATATACACACAAACTTTGATTTCATTCAGGTTTTGTCCCACAGAAAAGAGGGGGAGAATGATGTTCCTTCCATTTTCAGATACCGAAAGATGTGAAACACGTATGCAGATGCTTAATTTAACTTCAGTTGATAAGAAAAAGCTCATGGCATGTGCAATAGATTCCTATCAGCCAAAACAGATAAACTGAACCGGACCCAAACAAACTTATTTTGCTCAAGAATACACATAGCAATCCTTGTCTTATATGAGAGTCCTACATGAAAGGTCCATATGCAGGATGCTAAATTCTTACCAAGATTTGCCCCTGTATCAATCCTGCTCAATGCAGGCGGATTATGAATTCCAATGTGGTGTTTTTTCTTTCTATTCCTCTATGGAGGAAAAAACGTTACATAAGCAATACTTATTTGTCTCCAAATTTGGTTACTCTTTGGAAAGTGCCTGTTGTATTACAGTTTTTTTTTAATGTAATTATCCTCTTGGCTTGATATACCAAAAGCTCCTCTTAGTCTAACATTCTGTCCCTGGAAGCTCACAAGCATGTCATAAAATTAACACACATTTCTCTATAATGGCCTGGATTCAAAGGCCCATAAACAGATGGGGAAATGCAGCAGTGCTGGTCTGTGAACTCTTGGTGAAAACGCTGGGGGACTTTGCCTTCCAGGTCCCATGGCAGATTACAACAATTTAAAATTCTGTACGTATTACATATATTAAAAAGTCACAGCAATGGCCTGGGTCCTGAAAACACATAGGCCATAGGGTAAAGAGGTGCATCTTCAGAGTGGCCGACGAGACAGTATAACACCCGTCCTGAAAGACCTACATTGGTTCCCAGTATGTTTCCATGCACAAGTCAAAAGTGTTGGAGCTGACCTTTAAAGCCCTAAAAAGCCTCAGTCCTGTATAGCTGAAGGAGTGTCTCCACCCCCATTGTTCAGCCCGGACACTGAGGTCCAACGCTGAGGGCCTTCTGGTTGTTCCCTCCCTGTGAGAAGTGAGCTTACAGGGAACCAGGCAGACGGCCTTCTCAGTAATGGCGTCTGCCCTGTGGAACGCCCTCCCATCAGATGTCAAGGAAATAAAACAACTATCTGACTTTTAGAAACATCTGAAGGCAGACCTGTTTAGGGAAGTTTTTAATGTTTGTAGTTTTCTTCTGTTTTAATGTTCTGCTGGGAGCTGCCCAGAGTGCCTGGGGAAACCCAGCCATATGGGCAGGGTATAAATAATAAATATTATTACTATTATTATCCCAGCTAATGTCCTGGTGCCGAGTAAGGACAGGGAAAAAGAGAAAGAAATGAATCTATCCACCAAGTAGATTGGCTGGTACAACCTGCCACCTGGACTCAAGCTGATCAATGCTGCTAATTCAAATGTCCCTTTCAGTTTGATGTAAGGTTTTACTGGAAAGTACAGAAGGGATAGTGAGTGCTTAGCTGCGTTTCTGATCTGCGACAGAACACAGTTCACTATCTGAACAGAGACCACTTCCTGTTCTCTAGCATATTTGTAAACCATGTAACTTACTGAAATAAACTCATAGGATGTTTCTCCAAAGAGCCTGTTGGCTAGCCTAAGCAAGTACTTGGTGTCTGGCTTGTTGATTTCAGAAATAAGTTTCTCGTATCCCTGGTGAAACTCGACGTCGTTGGTCACAGACAGCACCTGTAAGACAATAAATGGTTAACGGATAATGTTAAGTACAGTAATTTAAATACATTTATCTATGTACTCCTTAAAAACTGTATTAGTTGAAAAATCCATGTATTAGTTGAAAAATCCATGCCTTTCAGCAAACAAGAGAGTGAAATACTGTAAATGCATATTTCAGCCTGACCTGCTACAAAGAAAAGGAAGCACCATGCATGGAGGCAAAAGTCAAGCTCCTCACTCCCCTTAATAGTATTTATCTGGATATACCTTTGCCATTTGGGCTGCAGTGTTCCCTGCCGCACCCAGAGAAACCATCGTCAAAGCAGAAGAAATGCTCAAAGGAGAAAAAAACACATTCGCTGTATTATCATTTTGACTTAGCTTCTTGAACAGATTGAGGGCAAAGGCACTGTTTGCTGCAGTTAGGCGGTCCATCTCTTATAACCTACGAAACAAGCACAGAGAAGACAGTCATCCAGTTTGTCCGCTCGGAGGTCACTTTTACAAGAAAAAAACCAAACCTAAGCATTTGTTTTCAGATCCCACACGTATCCAAATGCATATCAACCTGTAATTCCCATGCTGGAACATTTTCATGCTCTCCAAAATGCCACCCACCCACCATTTTCTGGTGTGGGGGAGGCTGCAGCCCACAGAGGAACCGTCAATCACATGCTACATTTCTTTAGATGAAAGCAATGGCCAGCAGACAGTAATTTGCAAAAATGCCCAGGAGGAGAGTAACATTTGCCCTCACTTGATTTCTAAGAAGATCAGCTTTAAATTAAAAGTCTATTGCATCTTACATGCCACATAACCCCCTTTGGGACATACAGTGGTACCTTGGGTTAAGTACTTAATTCGTTCCGGAGGTCCGTTCTTAACCTGAAACTGTTCTTAACCTGAGGTACCACTTTAGCTAATGGGGCCTCCCGCTGCTGCCGCGCCGCCAGAGCACCATTTCTGTTCTCATCCTGAGGCACTATTTCTGGGTTAGCGGAATCTGTAACCTGAAACATATGTAACCTGAAGCGTATGCGACCCGAGGTACCACTGTAAAAAGAAACAGAGGGAGGGAAAGCAATGTTTGAGAGCCTGTTGTCCCCACTGCATAATTCTAGCCTCAAAAACAGGACTATTAAAAGCCTCAGGTCGCAGAATTAAGTTACCAAGCCAACAGCTATAATAGCCTGATAAACCGAGTCCTGAACAGGATCAAGCTTGCATGAAGTGCTGTTTGATGCTTTTATAACTTATTGTGACTACTTGACCACTAAGATGTACAAATTCTTTCAAACTCTTTTGACTTCTACCAATATGCATTAAGCAGGCAGTCCAAGTCCTTCGGGCAGGGACGCGAGACTTATAAAAATAATTGGGGGGCCCGGGAAAGCTCATGAATAATAAATAAGCTCATGAATATGCAAATAAAAGTGACTCCGCCTCCTCGTGAGCGAATAGGGAGAGGTGCTGCGCCTATTAATCAGCCTCCGGAGCGGAAATTGGGTGCGCTTTTGCTCGGAGGAGGCAGAGCATGCAGCCCCGACCTGTGCAGTTTGAGGCTGGGGGAGGCGGCGATGGCGCTCTGGCTGAGGGCGCCGGAGATTATTGTGGGGGCTGAGCCCCCCCAAAGCGAATTTTTGAGGGCTCGGGCCCCTTCAAGCCCATGGAGTCGGCGCCTATGGTTTCGGGGGCCTGGTGCGGCCCCCGTGGCAGTTTATGTCCTGGGGTAAAATCCTTAAAAAGCTCAGCAACTTCCATCCTAAAAAGCTCAACAACTTTGGTCGCATGTTCACTTCATCAAACCTAACCCTAACACAATACATTGATTCCCCAGGGAAGAGGGATTGTTTGTTGAAGTACTCTGTGTGCTCTTCTGGACAGATTCTGGATGCTGTTACAGATGGTGGGGAGATCGGCTTCAGTTTGAAGGGTGTAGCAGTGGGTGCAATTCACCCAGAGATCTTCTGCTACCTTCTGCCTATTCCTAAAGACAGGGAAGGAAGTATACAATATCTCCCCCGCCCGCCCCCTTGCAAAGCTCCTGTGCGCTAACAGCTGAGTGCAGCAGGCAGAAATCCTGCAGGTGAAGCTTTTCCCAGTAGAAAAACACAGTATGGAAAGCCGCAACTATTAAATTTCTGCCTGTGTCGTGCAGCTGTTCAAAGGACAGAAGTGTGCACAGAAGTGCAGGTCCCACAGGTGACAACACCCTGAGACCCTCCCAGATTACTTCCTCAACAAAGGAAGTCCAGGACCCCCCCCCTTTCCTTTAAAAGACACGCAACAGGTACAATTGGCACCCAAAGAGAAGAGGACTGTACCGGGAGAAATGCGCGCGGCTGTTACGCACGGATCGCAGGAAGGTCTCCGGCTGCGAGCAAAGAGAGGCACCGAGTGGCGACGGGAAACCGGAGAAGGGGAAACGAAACTATCCCGTCCTGCCAGGGGAGGCGCTACTTCCTGTGACTCAGCCGCTATCCAGGAACCTAATAGGGTGGGGAGGAAAAGGAGCCGCAGCCTCGAGCCTCGCAAGTTTGCGGCCGGCTTCCATTGCCACTGAGCATGTGCAGAACAGCTCGCACATGCCCAGGTGGAGGAAACGAAGCCGCTGCCCGTTGCCATTGCACGCCTTTTCCCCCATCGCCGCCTGCTTTTTCCAGAAACGGAGAAGACTCTCGGAGCAGGAAGGTGGCGCTGCGAAAGCGCAATTGCGCCCTGCTCGCGTTCGTTGTTGGCGCAGCAGAAGTAATCCCCGCAGGCTTACTCCCGAGTAGCGGCGCCTGGCTGCGCAAACCAGGGGAGCCTGACATTAATACACGCAATGCAGTCATAGGGTAAAGCTCATATTCTTTTACTTAGTGTCGGCGTCGCTTGGATAGATCCTCTTTCTATTCGCTGATTGTTAAATGTTCGGAAAAAGTCAGAAGCCCAAGGCAGTGTAAGTTTATTCAGCATTTGTCAGTGACAACAGCTCACTCATAGGAACACAAGAACCAAACTGACTGAACAACACGATAATAATGCCGAGGATGAACTGACCGTTGACAGTTTGACAGTTGAAAGAGCATGCGCTTACTTGCCATTAGAACGTAGGTCCATAGCTGTCAACTTTCAGATTAGAAAATAAGGGATCAGCAGTCTCACCAGTCCAGGGGACAGTCTATGGGATATCTAACAATCCGGGATAGCAGCGGGAAACAGCGTTGGAATAAGGGAATTTCCCGCAAAAAAAGGGAAGGTTGACAGCGAAGTGTTCATCTACCAACGCTTCTGCGATTGGTTAGAATACGCCTTGTAACATAAAATGTTTTAAACCCAATACATAACACTGATTTATTGCATTTCCTTGGTAGTGAGAGAGGTTGTGTGTGCAGGGAGCCTAGGGTTATTCTACGAACATGAATGTCTCGCAACAAATGGAATTGATCCCTAGAAAATACAACCTGAAAAAAGAGACGACGCACGTACTTCTGTAAACCAAGGAACCACTATGACCTTCGGCTGAGATCAGCTTCTTTGAGGTGTATGATACAGATATGCAGGTTTGAATCCTTATGGCCAATAGTGAGTGTTGAAATATCTTTTTCCTGGACATGCTGGGTGAAGGATGGGAACATCCAGTCTGATTTTTTGAGGACTGCAATATTCTCCGGAAAGATTGGGTAAGCTCGCACAGTTCAGGGGAATCTCTGGGTATGTGGTGATTAAACTGTGGACTATTTGGAGATGTGTTGGAATTTGGGTGTCCTGCCCATAAGAGTGTGTTTATGAGGAGTGTTGAAGGAGTCCCATCTCTTCACATGAAAGCACTGTGGGACACTATTTGATCTGCTGAACGTGACCAGATTGTTGTTAACCATGTGGGGAACCTGGGCAATAAATGATATTTATGCCTTCAATTTTTTTGCCCAATACACAGAATTACGATGCTTAAAACAAAGGTCAGACTACCTGGCTGAGATTATGATGCCCTGTTAGAACCATGTTGAGGCCTGAGAAGGAGATCCTGCTATAGTTTCTAAGACCATTGCTATTGGGAAACGAGGACAGGTACCAGTTAGGATTCTGACCCATGGTGATGCTGTGTTGCAACTGAGTAAGGTTAAGCATAATGGACAGTTGGTGCATAAATGCAGAGGACAAACTTCTAATGCCTGAAATGCAAGCAAGCCGTGAGGAAACAGAGGTACCAGAATGTGCCTATCAGTGATGCAGAAGGAGAACTCAGATCACGACGCTTGAAGAAAATACGTATAGGAACATGAACCATTTCTGCAGAGCAGAGACTTGAGTCAATTACAACTTGTCAAAGGACTTTCTCCCAGGAGCCTCTGGATTTTGCATGCATTTCCCAAGTGCAGCATACTGTCTCAACTGGTCTGTAACATAGCTGTCAACATTTTCCCCTTTTTTAACTGAAATTCCCTTATTCCGAACAGGATTCCTCGCAAGAAAAGGGAAAAGTTGACAGCTATGGTCTGTAATATATCCTCCAGTTTGGAAAAGGTCCCATCTAATTGCTCTTTCTTTGTACTAACCAGCTGGTGAGATGATGAATATATATTAAAAAATAAATAGGAGCGTTGTCAATTATTTTAATGCAAGTGGGCTGTACTCCATGTCATGTGGCACAGGGAGAGCGGATAAGCGTTTTAAAACACTATTGTTTTGCATAGTGGAAACATACCACATTCCATGTATAAGACGCCTCCTATTTTGGTGGACTCAAAATTTAGAAAATGGGGGGAGATTGCCCAGAATTGTTGAGCTTTTTTGGGGGAGGATTGCCCACAGTTTTTAAGCTGTTTTGGGAGAGGGGGGAGAGTTGGACCCACCGGCCCAACGAAAACAGTCGCGCACCCCGCAGAAGACATAAATCTTCTGCCCACAGGCGAAAAGCAACCGCAAATCACCTGCCCAGTTGGTAAGGCAGCACCAAATTAAGAGCAGCCCTTGATGCAGCAACCAATCATCAGCCAGAATTGCCACTGAAATGCTCCGTGCCAGTGACCAATCCTATGTCCCCACTCAGCACTACCCATGTATTAGACGGCCCCCAATTTGAGAGATTCTTTTATCTGAAGAAGGGACGCGGGTGGCGCTGTGGGTTAAAGCCTCAGTGCCTAGGACTTGCCGATCGAAAGGTCGGCAGTTCGAATCCCCGCGGTGGGGTGCGCTCCCGCTGCTCGGTCCCAGCGCCTGCCAACCTAGCAGTTCGAAAGCACCCTCGGGTGCAAGTAGATAAATAGGGACCGCTTACTGGCGGGAAGGTAAACGGCGTTCCGTGTGCTGCGCTGGCTCACCAGATGCAGCTTGTCACGCTGGCCACGTGACCCGGAAGTGTCTGCGGACAACGCTGGCCCCTGGCCTATAGAGTGAGATGGGCGCACAACCCTAGAGTCTGTCAAGACTGGCCCGTATGGGCAGGGGTATCTTTACCTTTTACTTTTATCTGAAGAAAAGCTCATCCAATACATGGAAAAGTACAGTAATTTTCAAAAATTAATTTATTGCTTTAAAATGCATGTTTTACAGACAATGATGACCGGCATTTAGGGAAGAATTAAGAATGTGATGCTGCACACTCTTGTCATGTACAGAGACAGATCTGGGCAACAGAAGGAAGGCAGAAAACCTTATATAGGTTATGCCTAAAACAGCATTAGGCCTAAATGTGAGGTCTATGGCATTTCAGCCTGCTCCTAACCATTTATACTCAGATTGACAACCTTTTTGGGCCAAGGAGGACATTTGGAATTTTGAGAAACTGCTATGGCGACATTCACAAAATGGCTGCCATGGGGCATGTGGCATGACACAAAATGGTTGTTGGCAGAGGAGAGAAAGAGAGGCAAAGCCAGTGTCAACATCAACTTGGCAGGAAGGGCAAGAAGTTCTCTTATGCATTTTTTATTTTTGAGGGTGTGTTTACCATGGGAGGTACTGGTTGGTTGGTTCATTACATTGGCAACCACATTCTATGGAGAAGAGAATCTGCCCAAGAAGAGGGTATTTTTTGTTGCCTTGTGCTTGATAAAGAAGATAAAAGGATGGTTTGCTTCAAATTTTATGGGCTTCTGAGATGACCTTATTACAATGGTGGCTGCTGAGGCAGCTGCCGCCTCAGTGCCCTCTTCATTGATCTCCACAAAGGACTTGTGATACACCTCTGACAAAGCCAAGTCGCCTTTTTTTGACATTCCCAAGAAGTTAGCTTGGCCTGGAATGAAAGCATCCTTCATCCCCATACTGCTTAGGATAGACTTGAGGTCGAAACTCTCTTCCAGTTTGATCCTTGGTAAGTGAAGCTCCACCTTCCTTTTCTGCATCATATCCGAACTCGTCCATATTGACAATCTCTCATATGTTAGTTCTTTTTCCAGCTGTGGTCGTATAATAAAGCAAGTTAGACAGCAAAACGAAAACCAAAGTGACTCTTAAAAACAACAACCCAAAAACCCTGCAACCAGTAGCTCTTCTCACCACAAAGTTATGAGGGCTTTCAAAACAAAGCCTGCTGTTTACTTTGCTAGGGAATGTGATTCAGGGAGAAAAGGCAAGTGATGTGGGACATAACATAATGTTTGCAGACTGGGAAAGGTTGTGGAGGAAAGGGGTCAAGTTCACTGCATGTACGGTGTTAAAGGAAAATATTGTGAAAATGATGTATAGATGGTATTTAACCGCTGTAAAATTAGCAAAGATATATCACAATAGTGATAATCTATGTTGGAAGTGTAAAGAAAAAGAAGGTACCTTTTATCATATGTGGTGGACCTGCCCCAAAGTGAAAGACTTCTGGGAGAAGATTTAGAATGAATTGAAAAAAATGTTGAAATATACATTTATTAAGAAACCAGAGGCCTTTCTTCTTTGAATAACAGGTTTGGAATTGCCCAAGATAGATGTTAGATTGTTTTTGTATGCCACAACTGCAGCTAGAATTTTGTTAGCCAAGAAGTGGAAAACACAAGAAGTGCCAACAGTGGAGGAATGGCAGATGAAGGTGATGGACTTTTCGGAGCTAGCCAACCTCACCGGAAGAGTCCGTGACCAGAAGGAGGAGGAGTAGCAGGAGGAATGGAGGAAATTCAAAGACTATTTAGTTAAATATGCTAAGATAATTTAAATAGAAATACTTGCAAACACCAGATAGGCTTGGGATTTAAATATGTGATGTTATAGAATAACATGTTTAAATTTAATATGAAAAGAAAGAAAGACGTTCATTGATTAAGTAAATTTTATGAGAAATTTGTTTTGGAAAACTGTTACGATGATATATATTTAAACTCAATCAGGGGGATTAGAGGAAGTCACGTAACAATGTTATTAAGAGTGGAATAATTACAGTTAGGATTTATGTTTGTTTATAAATTTTGGAAAATCAATAAAATTTTTGAAAAAAGAAAAGAAAAGGCACTTCCAAGTTTTAGGGGCCCATAGTGCTTTCACCACCACACTCTACCCCCAAATCTGGCCACTGTACCTGCAACCCACTCTTGTCGCTGCTAAATACATAAGGTTACTGCATGTTATTTTCTTTAGTTTTTCTTTCAGAATTAGGTGATTATTATGCTCACAATGCAACAAGCCCTTCTATGCTGACTCATATACAGTCGTACCTTGGAAGTCGAATGGAATCCATTCCGGAAGTCCGTTCGACTTCCAAAACATTCGCAAACCAAAGCGTGGTTTCTGATTGGCTGCGGGAAGCTCCTGCAGCCAATCAGAAGCCAC